ATTTTGTTTTTCTTTAAAATTTGTATAACTTATGTTATCTTTCTTATATATTTAAAGTTAAAATTCAAGTATATGAACGAGTAAATGTTTGACACATATAGTATGTTTAAAATAAATCATGCTTAGTTTTGGATGGTGTTTACAGCAATATTATATTTTCAAGTGCTAAGAAAGGCGTCGATATGCAGTAAAGTATTTTTTAAATATTAGCCCCCTCTACAATTATGGCAAATTTCCGCCTATGCAACTATTAGAAATGTATATTAATGTACTTACTTCAGAGTGAACTGTCACCATGGACATGTCCTTTGTGACAATGTCCATGGTGCCGTCGGTTTCTTCCCCTGTTTGGGGTGTCGCTGTCGGCGGGGTTGATGTTTGCGGCGGTGGCGGTGGTGGTAGTGGCGGTGGTGGTGGTCCCTTCCCACGGCGGGTAGTAGTGTCTAAAAAAATTATAAAAGTTAATAATAGAATACGCAATAAGTGATCGTGATACAACATAACACACACTCACCCGGACAATCGACAATTAGGTGACCGTTTTACGACACCTGTAGCACCCTGAAACACAAATTAGGCGATACACCTTTTAGTATTAGTTACTCTAAAATTTGTATTTTGTATACATCTACTTACTTCTTTTATTTTTTTGTTTTTGCAAACGCTTCCGGACCCTGCCGGAAGCGTTTCCCATCGCGCCGTGCTCGCGGCGGTGGTATACAGGTGCATTATACACCTGTATACCACTCGCGTTATAGTTGTTGATTTGTTTTGTTACTTTCATTCTAAAAATAAACAATGACACCAATTAATATTAAAATTAGTCATTTTTGCTGACACTATGCCACTGTTGTGCCGTGACGGGTTGGCCATGTACAACTAATTATCAAAATGTCACGAGGCGGTTTTCGAACATTAGTAATGAGTTAACGAATACAATTTTGCAAAAAAAACAAAATCAGACACGTGGCCAACAGTAATCAATAATCAAAGAGTATTAGCATTGATTATCGATAGTGTGCTGTTAGTTCTACAGTAAATAAATTAATTTATCATTGGACTAAATACTAAGGAGATTATCTATGTTCTCTCAATCGACTTTTTACGATATTTAAATTTTTAAGCGAGTTATGACAGTTGTGTCAAATTGGATAAGACAATGATGCACAGATAATAGCTAATAGGTCAATTCACTCGATCACAACAAACTGCACACTATTTACAGTGGTAAAATAAAAATGCATTAAAAGGTAGTTTGAACATAAATCATATTTCACCCGCAGAAATAAAACATAATATAATGAAAAAATATAAATATATAGGTAATTATAAAAAAGTTACGGGAAGGTTAGTGAATATTGGTAGTGAATTAACCAACACAATTATACACAAATTAGACATGTGCCAAAAACAAAATCAGAACACATGACGTACAGTAATCATAGAATATTAGGTATAGTTAATTCAACAAAAGCTTGAGTTTTCAAACACATAATATCCTACAGACGTGCTGCGATCCAGTTAAGAAGATACCCGCATAATATTATGTTGTCTCCGTCTTACACATGTGCGATATAGTTAATTTTCGTTCGACGGTTTCAATAGTGTGCTATATATTAGTTTTACGGTGAACTCAACTATTAGTATTATTAATTGAAAATTGAAAACTAATATAAGAAGATAATCTGTGTCCTCTCGATCGATTTTTTACGACATTTTAATTTTTAAACGAACTATGTGTATGTGTAATGCAAAATATAAAATAATAATAATGTACAGATATAATTTCCTAAAATATTTATAAAAATTATAAAAACCAATTACAAACAGCGCACTATTTAATCTGGTCAACTAAAATTTACTACGGAATACGATTTACATTCATTCAAATGCACACGTGCCCATAGTCATACATTCAGACCTCATAAACAATTAAACGAAATTGTATTGTATAAAGAGGTGCTTAAATATTGATCGAGATACAATTAAATATATTCTATAAGTATTAAAAAGTGTTTGAGCATAAATAATTTTACTCTACCAAGTTAAACTAACATGAAAAAAAACACCGGGACACAAGGCCAGTATAAGAAGGTACCTACAATAAGGAATTAAATACGTTTACTTACTCGAACGGCGTCCAAATGTCAAATGAAATATGTCCGGCGTTCGTCACCGATCATACATCCTGTCCGCAAAAAATGGATTTCCCATCACTCCATTAAATTAGATTAAATAAAAATTAAGGAAAAACGGGAATTTTTACGCAAAATTGGTTTTCCAAAAAATCGATTTTGGTTATTGGTGTAACTCTAAAACAAATGAACGTATATACATGAAATTTTCACTGGTTGTTAATATTTGCATTTTCTATACACGATAACATTTTCAAAATATTTTGATTTATTTTGAACTGTTTAGGGACATTTTCATTTTCCATATTTTTTTAGTGTTTTTTCTAAAAATATCAATAAAATTTTATTTGTTGGTTGCGAAAGCTTGAAAATTTAATAGAAGGCTCCTAATATGTTGTTTCAAAGGCAGATGAAAAATATTAAAAATCCTTAGTCACAATTTTTTTTTATAAGCATTTAAAGTTCAAAAATTTACAAAATATGGAAAAATCACGAAAATTAGCAAATTATTTTGAGTTAAGAATTCGTAAAAATTTTTCTTTTTAAATCTAAGATTTGAAAATGAAACACAAGATTCCTTATAAGATTATCTACCTTTATCAATAAAAAAATCTCTACCGGACAGTCAAATTAAATTTTTATGAGCGTTTGAAATTCAAATTTTTACAACATTGGATTTTCACTCGATTTCTCATGTAGCGATTTCCTTATTTTGTTGTAATTCAAAAACGAATAACTGTAGATACATGAAAATTTCACTGAATGTTTATATTAGCATTTCCTATACACCATACAATTTTGAAAATATTTTGACTCTTTTTGAGCTGTTTACGGACATTTTCAGTTTTCAATTTTTTTTAGTTTTAGATTCTGAGCGGAGAGATGAATGTATTGGTTTTACAATGATGTGTGTTTTTTTTATATTTTTATATTTTTATATTTTTTTTTGTGTCTGTCATCACGTTTTGGGACAGTAAAAGTGCTTCGATTTTCTTCAATAGTACCTTTTCTGATAGGAAAGTGAATCTAGTTGGTACTTTGGGGGGTCAAAAGTAAACATTTTCCAGTAGTTTTCACAAGCGCCGGGAAAAACAACATAAAAATTAAGGAAAAACGGGAATTTTTACGCAAAATCGATTTTCCAAAAAATCGAATTTGGTTTTTGGTGTAACTTTAAAACAAATGACCGTAAATACATGAAATTTTCACTGGTTGTTTATATTTGCATTTTCTATACACGATAACATTTTCAAAATATTTTGATTTATTTTGAACTGATTAGGGACATTTTCATTTTTCATTTTTTTTTAGTTTTTTTTCTAGAAATATCAATAAAATTTAATTTGTTAATTGCGAAAGCTTGAAAATTTAATAGAAGGCTCCTAATATGTTGTTTCAAAGGCAGATGAAAAATATTAAAAATCCTTAGTCACAATTTTTTTTTATAAGCATTTAAAGTTCAAAAATTTACAAAATATGGAAAAATCACGAAAATTAGCAAATTATTTTGAGTTAAGGATTCGTAAAAATTTTTCTTTTTAAATCTAAGATTTGAAAATGAAATACAAGATTCCTTATAAGATTATCTACCTTTATCAATAAAAAAATCTCTACCGGACAGTCAAATTAAATTTTTATGAGCGTTTGAAATTCAAATTTTTACAACATTGGATTTTCACTCGATTTCTCATGTAGCGATTTCCTTATTTTGTTGTAATTCAAAAACGAATAACTGTAGATACATGAAAATTTCACTGAATGTTTATATTAGCATTTCCTATACACCATACAATTTTGAAAATATTTTGACTCTTTTTGAGCTGTTTATGGACATTTACAGCTTTCAATTTTTTTTAGTTTTTTTTTTCTATAAATATCAATAAAGTTTTATCTGTTGGGCTAAAAAGTGTAAAAATTTAATACAAGGCTCCTGATATATTGTTACAATATCAGTTGAAAAATATTAAAAATACATAGGCACAATTTTTTTTTATAAGCATTTAAACATCGAATTTTGACAGATTTTTTCAAAATCTCGAAATTTATTAATCATTGTAATTAATAAGTTATAAAATGTTCAGTTTTTATAGCTAAGGATTGAAAATTTAAAACAAGATTCCACGTAAGTAGTTCATTATCTTACCGTAAAATCTAAAAAATATACAATCACAGTTTATTTTTATAGTCATTTTATGTTCAAATTTGGACGAAATTTCATATTAAAAAACCTAGTTATTTTGTTGTGATTATATAATATTATTCGTGGGTACGGGGTACCTACTTGAAACTTCTAAAGTGTATTATTATATATCGATGATACTATCAGGGTTTGTTATTGATGTTGATGTATAACGTGTTATAAGTACCTAATGGATATTGTGATAATGTGATATGATTAATTTAGAATTTATTATAGGTCAATTTTTTTTTAATACCATAGATTTGTATATAATTTATCTTAAACCTAGACTGACATACCGTCTTCGCTCAGAATCGTTTTTCTTATACAATGATATTATATCATTGAATTCAAATTTAATAGCATCCATGACACAGTGACCCACTTGTAACCTACTGTACAGCAGAGCGACATCCACTTACCCACCTTTTTTAAAATGTATATTTATTATGTTACAGATATTGTACAGTTCAAGGTACGAAGAGATAAGTTCTATTATTTATTGTATAATGTTAATTAGGAATTATCTTTTTACAAAAGATTAGGTTTGAATTTGAAATACTGAAAAGTTCTAGTCTGAAATGAAATAAATATGATATTTAAAGAACGTACTTTAAAATATTGTTTACAGATACAATATTATAATATACCTTTGTTGTTTAATTTTAATTTTAACTTTAAATTTGTTATTGTTCATAATTTAATGCACATAATTCATCTCGTTTATATATTCCATTACCTGTATCAGATACTGCAGGTAGAATATACTGTTCATATTCCTCAACTTCAATGTCATCATGAGATATGCAGATATTGTGAAGAACACAGACAGCTGTTATTATAAAACGACAATAACTCTTATGGTACACATCTAATAATCTAATATTAAAGTTTGTAAGAACAGTAGTTGGTTCCCTTAAAACTCGTGCATCGTGTGATAAACCAGGCCATCCACAAAAAATGTTGATACATTTCTGATCAGCCATCAATTATATCCTATAAAATAATATGAACAAATCTAATAAATAAATATTAAACATAATAAAAATAATTATTTATATGAACTTGTAAAAATTACGGATTTTACTTGTTTTCTATTATAAAACATCGACATGACCGTTCTTTTTGCACCAGACAGTAAATAAAAACAGTTTATATCACCACCATGGATGAAAAATATCATATAATTTTGGCTTGGAATAAACAACAAATTAAATTATCACTAGCCGCCGAAACCAAATTTTTAATATTATAATATTACTAGATACAACACGACGCGACACGACACGGTGTAAGTGTGAACCCGCCTTATGTCTCTATGATAAAAATACCAATTTTTATATATCTGTGAACAAGCCTGATACCAGTAATTCAGCAGTGACACCAACGCGAAAAAACATCGTACATTGAAAGAAGACCAATAATAAATAATAATTAATGTTGTAGTAATGTAGTATTATTGTCTATGGCTAAAATAATTAAACTGTTATAGTTATTCATTCATCCGTTACAATATGACAATGACAAATCACTTTTTCAACTGAACACTCTGATATTACATGGCACATGCTTATGATACTGCATATTATACATACAACTAGCTCTAAGTATAACTCGGGGCCCGTTGGAATCGCTGAGAGTGGGTACCGATTTTGGAGACAATGAATTATAAAAGTCGCAAAGGTTGTAAGACGAAAGTTTAGGATTTGTGATAAGGATTAGTGATATGGATTGGAGATAAGGCTAGACGCTTTGGCGGGAATGTTAAAAGTTTGAGTGTCTAGCAATCCGTCACAAACGTTGTAAATGGATAGGCTGGATACGATCTCCAGGATCACCTATATAGAGTATAGCTGCACATAGAGTGGTATGTGCCGTAGCATGAACGGTGCTTTATCTTATGTAAAAAGTGTAAAGTCGAAAACCGTGTTGGAGTTTCTAGCAAGTCAGTCATCTCAAGTCAAAATCTATTAACTTTCAAGTTAGCCACTTAGGTAGGCAATCCGACTTCGTCGGATCGCGGACTATGTGCCACAGCAAATCAGGTAGGCAATCCACCTGCGGTGGATTGCAGACACGACATCAAGCGGCTATAAGTGAAAACCCTATCACACAACTTACGAAATTATTTACGAAAAATTCAAACTATATACATACAAACAAATATGATATGTATTTATTGTGTGATATAATATAACAATGAACATTTTGAGAAATGTGCAATTATAATTCCTAAAAAATATTAACATATAGGTAGGTAGTTAGATACATACTATTATATTAACCAATACATACAAACATGTACCTATAGTGTATATATATTAATTTAAAAAAAAATTGCAAAAACCTGCATGTTATTTGTTAAAGTGTCTATCAAGTCAATCATCACCGTTTAAGACGAAACTAAAATGAGCAATCCGTCTATCACCTATATATAGTAGGTATATCACATAGAGTGGTATGTGCCTTCGCATGTCCGGTGCCTTTTCTTATGTAAAAAGTGTAAAGTCAAAAACCGTGTTGGAGTGTCTAGCAAGTCAGTCATCTCAACTCTCAAGTCAAAATCAAGATTAACTTTCAAGTTAGCCACCTAGGTAGGCAAACCGAAATAAAATACAAACTATATTTATATAACAATCATGGAAATTTTAAAAAATATGCAATTATAATAATTCCTAATAAATTCCTAATAAAACAAATATAATATGTACCTATTTATTGTGTGATATAAAATGATAATGACTTTAAATAATAATAATGTACGATATGTTCCTGTATTATTATATTATTATTTAATTCATATGAAAAATAACGTGAAAAAAAAATGCAAAAAAAGTCGAAATTCGGGCGGCCGTGTAAACCATATAGCATTAACGGCTTCAATGCCCGGAAGGCGTTCGACGGATTTGAACCCGGGACCTACGTGTTTCCTACCTAACGCCTAACCTACTCGGACACAGTTTGAGATATGAAAGATAGTGAAAACATCAACAATTAAGCCGTGCGACTACGGAGCGACGTAAACCGATATATTCGATGTACATCGATGTAATCGCATATAATTCGCTTGTAATACGCGCATCTCCCATATATATATTTAACGGGGCGTGTGAAAAGCGTTTTCCGTTAAAAATTATTAAATCATAAGGAAAAATTAAATTATACACGTATATACATGTATATATACGCGTACGGCCGGTCGTTCGCCGGCGTAATTTCCAAACTCGATTGCGAGGCGAACGAACCGATTTTGGGGGAAAAGCGCATATAAACGGCTTCAAAAAGACTCGATTCGGACACAAACGGGTGCGAATAGACGAAACGGTGGGAGAAAAGGAAAATATCGGCAAAAAAGTCCGGTCGGGAGTGTATTTATTGATCGACATTGCACGAATATAAACCGCACACCGGTGGCTTCGAATTAAGTATATAAAAGGGCGAAAAGATATCGTGTAAAACAGCTAATTTTCCGAAAATCGGCGAAATGATAGGAAAAGAGGTGATAACGAAAAACGTTTTAAAACCGACCGCCGCCACTGCGAAGGTACGCTATAAGGAATCGACGGGACATGGCCGGAGGGCTGGGGAAACGGAGCAGTGCTTCATTTTTTACGCCATGGGTTCGCTATAGCCGGCGTTTTCCTTTCCATTGGTCCCCTATATTATCAGTCAGCTGTTCTTCATTTTATAGTATTAGATAGATAGATTAGCATAGGGTAATATAGAGGCGGATCGCCCATGTGGTAAATAATGTTGAAGCGGAAAGAGCCTCGGGTTTTGCAGTGTGGCCCTTTGAAAAATTAAAAATATTGTACCATATTTATGCTATATAACCGCTAGTTGACAGTGTCATAAACTAAAATAATATGGACTGGCAACGATGGTAAAATATGCGGTCATGTTTTAATGCGGACTTTTTGTGGTGGGAGAAATTGTGAAGCTGAAGAGATAAATCTGTTGGATAAAAACAATAATAAAACAAAAATATGAAATAAGTTTCAAATAACATAACTGAATATGTAGAATATTGCAAATAACTTGTTAAAAACTGTATTAAACTTGTCATGAAATTATAATAAAACATATTTTGAAAGACTCATATTATGCTGTTCTTATTATTATACACTTGCCTCTTAAGTATAAGGTATTCATTTTTAAAAATGTCCAGAAAGTGTTGTATAATTAGTTGCAAAAGTTTTAAAGGGAATGCAGCATTTTTAGTATTTCTAAAGCATCGTTTTCTTCTTGGATAGATATTATTAAAATAATTAATGGATGCGATGCCAAAATTAAGTTTATTTGTGAATAACATTTTCTGCCTAAAGATATAATAAAAAGTTATGCTGGTGTTGAGGTATTGTACATATTATAATTAGAGTAAATATTAATTCAATTTTAAAAACAATTTTAATCATCCAATATTTCATATTTTTAGTAACTCTGTATCAGTAGGCTTGAAATATTACAGGGACCATGAAAATGTACACAAATTAAAATTTAGTCAAGAAACCGAAAAGTTTTCAAAGTTATTTAATGATATTTTTGATTTATTAAATAGACGATTTCCTGATGAGGGTATTAGGAGAAATTCTGCTGATTTCAAAGTAATAATACTCATATAAAAATAAGAATAATAGTAAAAAAATAAAAAAAAAATAATTATAATAACTTTATACAATTAACTCAGGTTTTAGAAGAAGTTATGATCTTCATTGAGCAATGGGAATCTAATATGTTAAATAATAAAATAAATGAATCAGATTTCTTAACTAAACAAACTGCTGAAGGACTTCGAGTTACGATTCAATCAACTATAGATTTATCAACATATTTGTTAGATATCGGATTCCATTATGTCTTGACCAATAAAATGAATCAGGATAAATTAGAAGTATTGAGCAATGTTAAGATGTTAAGCAATAATTAAAAAAAAAAAAATTAATATTCTGTTTTGATAGCAATTTTTTGGTTCTGTTCGACAAGCTACGGGTCCTAATGACCATACTTCAACGCCAACATTTGTACAGGTTTATAAAATATTATCAGCTTACTCCATTTTAAAACCTCCAAAATCTGGAAACTGCAATCCTCAAAATTTCTTTGAATGACATCAAAGAAGTTTTTAATGCAAATGAATCATTGGGATTCAAAAAACTTCAAAACTTGACTTCTAGACTTGATGAAATAGTAAATAGTGGTATGTGGGAAGCTGATGACATTTTTGACCATGATTACTGCAAATCATCAGTAAAAGAGTAGATAACTTATTATATATGTGGATATGTTAGTCGGAAATTGTCAAATCATACAAAATTTAATAATTGTAAAGTGGCAATTCTTAAAGGTTAGATATGTTAATTTAAATTAAAAATAATAACTACTTTAAACTATAAATAAACTTAAATTATATTTACATATTTAGCAGGAAACTCTTCAGCAATTACTCAGGCAACTTTAACAAATATGAAATCTATAGGAGATTTAATAATTCCCAACCAAGGGTTCTTCAACCTGATTTTAGCAATTGAAGATTCTTTTGAAAAACATTGTAACAGTGAATATGTATTCGAAAATTGTGTTGATGATGTTTTAGTAGGAAGTGGAAATTTAACTGAATTCCCACGTTCTGAACATAAAAGTGAAATCATGACTTATATTATAAGTTATTACATTACAATGAGGATGAGACAACACACAAGCACTCCAAAACAGAGAGCTTAAAAAAAGCTGTTTATTAAAAAAAAAACAAAATTAGTTAAACATTAATTTTATAATACACCTATCCATAAAACTTATATTTTAACATTTTGGATTAAAAATAAAAGTTAAATACTATTTTGTTCGGTACCGCTCAAGTCTCTCGTCTATATCCACTATAGAAGCCGGAGTTCCTCAAGGAGCAATTACAGCACCTGTCCTTTTCAACATCTTCATAGCTGATCAACCCACCTCTCCCTACACGTTCGTTGCTGAATACGCCGATGATAAAGCTATCCTTTCAACCCACGAAAACCCTATCATTGCCTCTCTTCAACTTCAATCTCATCTCTCTCGTTTGGAATCCTGGTGTCAAAATTGGAAAGTCAAAATAAATGAAACCAAATCCTGCCACATCACTTTTATCCTTAAACATCAAATTTGCCCTCAAATTTCTTTTAACAACATCACAATTCCAACCTCACCAAGCACAAAATACCTAGGTATATATTTTGACAAAAAACTAAACTGGGCCCACCATACTCATAACATCAAAATTAAACTAAAATTCGTTCCCTTAAATTCTTCTTTAACGCAAAATCAAAACTTACACTTCACACTAAACTAAACTTATATAAAACTCTCCTTAAACACATTTGGATGTATGGCATCCAAATATGGTGCTCTGCAAAAAAGTCACATATAAACAAAATTCAAAAATAAATTGTTTCGTTTAATAACAAAGGCTCCTTTCTATGTATCCAATCAAACTTTACACTCTGACCTAAAAATGAACACAGTGTTAGAAACCACTACCAAGTCTTACTCTCGTTACCACAACTCGCTCTTCGACCATCCTACCATCCTAGCTAAAAATCTAACCAATCCAATGCCTGGCAACCCTCCCAAAAGATTGAAAAGAAAGTGGTGCCGCGACCTACTTTCATAATTTAACCTTACGACTCTGACCTGGAGTGTCACCAGTGGGTGGCTTCTCCTTCATGTTTTTCTGGCTGTAATCTTAATTTGTTAACACTTAAGCTTATTATACATAATTTGTATAGATTGTTTAACTCAAATAAAAAACAAAAAAAAAACTATTTTGTAACCAATATATTCAATATTCATGTTTGTAACGTGCCAACCACTTCAACTCAGTTTTGGTTGTATTTTGAATAAAATAACAAGTTGATGGTAAAACGATAGTTTATTTGTATTTATTTAACACGTAAAATAGACTAAGTCCAAATAATTAACTTATAAGAATGTGGTAAACGAGATGTGACTTAGTATTGACTTGGTGGCTGCTCTGCTGGTGCTCGTATGCTCGGCTGGTGTTCGTCTGATGGACACTTGTCCATCGACGTATTTCGTCGGTATTCCTAATAGACCCCTCCTATGACATTTTTAGTATAAAAATGGTACACGCGCCGCATCCGCCTGAGGTCATTTCTGACGTCTTTTATCAAAAAATGTTGATTACGGATTATATGTTTCCTAAGTAATCTATTTGTACTTTTATGGTTTTTTCGTCTTTCCTAGAATATGGATATTGGTCGCTTATACCTATCACGTGTTCGCGCTGTACCATTAATTAGTTCTTATTGATGTGGCTGCTCGGATGCTGATATTATTACTATTACCGGGGTTACGTGCTCCCTACAGAATTTATGTCTATTATTGAATATAATATATATTTATTATAATCGTATTTTACCTAATACAATATAATATAATATATTATTTAATATATTATTACAATTATTAATAGTCACAGCTCGTTACATGTTCAATATTTGTTAGGTAAAACTGAATTGAATTAGTGAGACAGTTATAAAAATTGAATAGGTGTGTAATACCTACACTCTGACTCTATAATATACACACTGCATTAGTATTTAGTACATTAATATCATAGAATAGACAAAAGTTTAAAAAAATACACACTACACCATCAACAAGCAAAAAAGTTAATATATAAAAATTATTAGGAGGGTACTGTAGTAGCCAGTTCCCAGTAGGTATAAGAAACGAGGAACATAATATAAAGAATATAAAATATATTTACTATAAAGTATAGTTACTTTAAATTTTAATTATATTTTGTAAAGCAACCACGGTCCACTGTCCACGGTCCATGATATACGATACTACGATAGTTACAAAAAACAATACAAGGATCGCCCCAATCCGATAAATTCCCCTTCTTAGAAAACCATTTATTAAAACTTAAACACACCGCTACCATCCGCCGGACAACTGTTACCAGTCCATATTATCTTAATTCATGATGACAACGCTACATAAAAAAATGTATGGTACAATATTTTTAATTTTTCAAAGGGCCACACTGCAAAACCGAGGCTTTTTCCGCTTCAACATTACAACAGAACGCCGCCTCTGTATTACTCTATGATTATTACTTATTAGATACAAATACAATTTCACAACTCTGTATAATATAATGACATCAATTTACAATCATATTTTGTCACAAACAATGCATTTGTGTGGTTTTTCGCCAGTATGCGTCTTCTCATGCCTTATGAGGTCATATTTTCGTTTATATGCTTTGTCACAAAAATTGCATTTACGTGGTTTTTCACCAGTGTGCGTCCATTCATCTCTAGTAAAATATCACATACAAAAATATTTTTATAAACATGATATACAAAATGAATGAAGTTATTTATCATAAATTGTACAATAAATAAATATATGATTATATAAAGCGATTTGAACTTTCATAGATACTTACAATGAGTCACCTTCCAAAGCACTGGCAATTTCTTTTTCATTTCTTTCTTTAGAACGTATCTTGTCAGTAAACGAACATGTAAGATGAAGAGTTAATTTGCCTTGTCTAAGTAAATCATTTTTATCAACTATATTCCAACGCTTATATGGAGTTTCTTGTAACATAACAACCGGATCGTACAAAGGATTCATTATAAAAAAATAGAATCTGAAATGGTTATTGAAAATATAAAATATATTCACATTTAACAAAATTACCCAAGTCACTTCACTTAGTCATAACTACCATAGAATAAATATACTAAGTAACTACGAAGTACAAATCATAAATCAAAATTATGATTTACAACATGCAAAATTGAAAATATTTAGTGGTATGTAGCGTATTGATCACGGACTATAATCCGTGGTATTGATAAATATTAAATGGTAACAATTAGCAATAATTGATATCACTATACAGCACGATATGTCTTAACATTAAAGATCTTGTACTTAAGTTGACACAGGATGCAATCTCTTGAGAGCCACGAGAAGCTGTAGTCTCATCCCAAATATGCATGAACCTAATTCCGCTGCTCATCTCTTGACACCCGTGGTTGTAAACGAACATGTTCCGTTTATAATACATCTTAGAAGTCGTAAGTAAAGGCAACGGTAATGCCTTCTCCAAATCAAATCTCATCACGTAATAAGTCTTATCTTGTTTAGATTTTTCCGTGTCATTTCTTAGGGAATTTCGTGAGTCAGCTTTTCGAAGACATAACTCATGTTGCACTGTCAGCTGCGATGTTTTTCCTCATTATCTTGTAAGGCAGATGTTTTTAATTTAAAACAATCACACATAGCACAGGTATCAGACGAAGGAGAATAAAAATTGAAATTGCAACTATTAAACGTTCTTCGAAATATGGGTTCATTAACAGGAGTCGAGCCTATTTCCTGACAGTTTTCTGTGTACAATCTGTACATGAGACGAATATTTCAGTGAGTAGAAAAATATTTTCTATTGGGGTTTTTTGTTCTTGTGTAATGGAACTCATAAGAAGGAAAAGTAGAAATGTGATCTCGCACTGTGCTCATTTTTTATTCTTCTATTTTACTTCCCGGTACGTTATGATGCCCCCTATTGTCGGACCCAGATTATTTTCCCATTTTTTTTTACAGCTCGTTAATCGCCCGTCAGAAATTTGTAAAGTTTTCAAAAAAACTACAAACATCTGCTTGTAGTCAAGAAATCTGCTTGGATACAACATTTCAGTCATCAGTCATCAGTATTTATTGTATGTGTATATGAAATATACATTATATTGGTATGATAGGTTGTAATGTGTTTTAAATTTCCAAGTTGATCTGCTTCAACATCTTGTCTTCTAACGGCATGTTTTATATTAATATATTTATCTGCTCTTAGCTTTTTTTTGATGAAATTAAATTTTTCAGTCTCTACTTTTGCTTACATATCTACTAAATATTGGTTGAAAAATGGTCCATAACGAAGCAAATTTATTTTTACTTTCTTCACGGAAAAAATAAATAGTTGCTGCAACTATTTAAACATTTCTACTAACCCAAGATTTAGATTTGCTATAGTGACAGCAACTCATTTACTTATAAACACTTTTTCCATTTAGTTGGTTATTGTATAGTTGCAACTACTATACAAATAGTTCCATTGGTAACTATTATTTATAGTTCACATGACTAAATGCATAGTACTTTTTACTGTCATACATAGTACTAAGAACTGAAATATTATAATCATTCTAACTAAAATGAACAGTTATATTTCAGTTTGTTTAGTAAACATAACCAAGTTTTTATAGCTATAAGAACTATATTGTTGTTGTTGTCCCCCCCCCCTATTCGAAAAAAATTTATTCCCGTGGTAGGCTTACCTTTTTTGGAGGGATAAGCTCGTAACCCCTTTAGTTACCAATAGATTATCACTGCCCCTGCTTTTCCTTGTGCTGGAAACCTGTATAATGTAAATATTATCCACCTATTAGTGTTGATTTCTAATTTGGATTTAGATAATTACAGTTAATAATTGTTGGATTCAAAACAATACAAGTATTTCAAACATTTAAGCTATAGTAAGTAAAAACAAGTAAAGGAATGGATCAAAAGATCAAAATACATGAATAATATATGTATTAAATATTTATATTTTATTATTCAATAAGCAATATGTACTTAATATATTTTATTATTTAATATGTTCAAAATATAGCTTCATATAGAATGCATATGTTTAAAAAAAATGTTCTTAAAAGGGTATATTAGAAAAAAAAAATGAAAATAACTGTAAATTAATGATATAACTATATAACTGTTATAATTTCAATGGTATGTAGCATGAGCCATTCTGTTGAACATAACAAAAAGTTGGGCAATAATTTATTAATTCTTTGAATCCAATAGAAGTAACAGATGTGGATTTTTCAACAACATATGATTGGTAATGTTCATCAAAACAAATAGTATTGAACATTTCACATATGGCTATATGAATGAGATTAGGTAAGATACAAATTTATTTTAAAAGTCCAAACACAGGTAAATGTGATAAATCTAGTACAAGACACATATTTTTGGTAGTGTAACGTGTACCTTTTATTTCGATCCATGAAACAAACTGTGAATCATTTTTACATGTATTTTTTAAACTAAATACTAAATTTTGTTTTAATTCTTCGGGATACTGTACCACATTCCCCACACTGAACCATTTTGAAGAATAACTATTATTGACATTTTGAGAAAACTGATGAGCAACTTTTAATTGGTTTTTTAGGGTCAACGTGTAACAAATATTTTTTCTACTAGAAATGGCTTGGGCTGCTATTTTAAATTCTCGGGGTTCCTCTTCAAATCTCATTGACCATATATTTATTAAAGGGCCTACATTTTCCATTATATATGGGTAATGTGTTAGATAGTGAAATTTAGGTTTCAAATGAGTATGCATCAGTCTAATGTATAAGGAATTATATTCAGTTATTAGTTCTCTTAAAAGTGAAGGGCACCCTATCCCAATACATTTAGATGTTGATAAATCAACTATTTGTTTTAATAGAATATATAAATGGAAAAATTCTGATCCTATTAAACCAAAATAACGAATAAAGCACCACATTTCTGCAGCTGACATTTTACATGCCATAGACTTGGTACTTTTTAGTGCTTGTTCAGATATTAGAGGAGGTCTGTTCCTTATTTCAATTGGGCCATAATCAAATAACTGAATCCTACTATTTAAAGTTTCCACACTAAAATATTTAGAATCTAAAATAAAACTTCTCAATATTCCCGACATATCATAATTGCATACCCCTTCGAGTAAATCATGCATTAATTCTACGGATAAATTATTTACAACATGAAATGATTCAATGCTATTCCAAATACATAATTCTTTTATGCCTGTTAATGAAACATTTTCTACATCAACATCAGTAGCATAGTTATCAATTGTACGTAACTTGTCATTAATTTGAAATAACATTTTATGGCATTCTTCTTTAGAACTACGGCAGAATCTACATGGGTAATTGGAAATAAAACTTTCAGAAAATCCTAAAATACTATGTACTAGTCCAAGATTGTCACCTACAACCAGTGCCAAGCTAAAATAGATTTTGAATAATTTATTGTCGACAGTTACTTCAACACCAGAAGATTCTAAATCATTTATTTCTGAAATTAAATGTTTAAATGTTTCTTTGTTTCCAACTTTTTTTTTATCTAAAGAGTTGAATAAGAAAACTAAGAATATATTTTCTAATTTTGAGAAATATTCATGCGGAAAAGAAGGTAAAGCTAAATAAACAGGTCCTAGCTTTTGAAGTCCAGCATGAGATCCAAGTGGGTTATTTGTTTCAAATTCATCAACATATAAAATTAATGGAAATAATATTTTATTGGGATTTTGTTCAATTTTTTGTTTCCACATATTATTATTATCCACATATATATTTTTCGATAACTGTGTGTACAGGTTCTCGATTGTTTTTTAACCATAATAGATTGTTCTCCAGGTCTAAAACAGAACATTGTTATTGATACTAGTTTTAGTTACCTATAAGAATATTTTATTTTAAATTAAATTTATTCATAAAAGTTAAACCTTCATCATTGACGATTAAATTATCCATGATGTTTAAATTTCTGTTGTTACTATTTTTATCATTATTATTTTATAATTTTCTAATGTCTTTTCTTATGTTACAATAGCGGTCCCACAATTTTCCACGATTAGGACGAACATGTTGTTGTTCTTTTTTTTAAAATATGTATGCACAGATTCCTGGGGAAAAAGTTCAACTATACCTAAAGCTAGCTGATGTATGGGTAGTATTAATTGATAATTTTTCATCAGGACTTTTATGAATTTCAGCATCAATTAACAATCGAGCCAGTTTAGTTCTCATAGCGAAATTCAAGCATCCATTTTGCTGGTAGTAGATATACACATTTTTGCCCTCAATAGAGCTCATTCCAAAATTTGTTTTATGTGTTGCGAATGTTGCGATTCAGTCTGAAGTGCCTAATAATGTATAATGGAATATGATTACTAATGACAAATAGAAATATGTTAAAAACAACAAACCTGATGGTTCAAGTGACTGTTAATTTGTGTTACACCATTTGTTATATCATTATGTTTTGTTCCTTGGTTTATAATATTAATAGTATTTAAATCTAGAACTTGTATTTCATCAATATTATCAATATCAATCAATTGCTGATGGATATCAATTTGATTTTGGGCACCCTTATTCATAAGCAAATAATTGTACATAATTAGGTATTCATATCTTAACAAATTTAACTTTGTTATACACATTAATTAATCATTCTATTAATTTTACCTGGTTGAATTCATAAGGAATGTTAATATCACCATGACTTTTAAGTTCATTTAAATTTGATAAAAATTTTGCTTGAGTTCCTATCTTAGGAATTAATGACTTTATCATATTTTCTGTTAGTTTCAAAAATTAACTTTTATCAATTTCTTCATCTATAAAATATATTGTATAAATTTTTATAATTATAAAGATATTAAATGTTTCAATTACTTTAGTTCTAGGTACTCGGGGTTTCACTTATTAAATAGAAGTCAGCATTTCTTGTTAACTAAATACAGGGCTATTTCCTGACACAAAGTGTGTACTCTGGAAATCAAAGTGTGCAGTTTGCTTACATGTGCACAGTGTGCACACATTTCAAATTTAAAGTTGTACCTAATGGGAAATTAAAATATGCCACTTCCATTCAAAGGCGTCTGCATCTGCCTCTGCCTTGGGTTTTTTCCTGAGTCAATTATCATAATCGTTAAGTAATATAAAATATTACAAAAAATATTTTTTAAATTAAAAACATTTTTTTCACCGTGTGCTTTTATAACACTCAATTATTTATTATGGTCATTATGGACGTAGCTTTTATAGATGTATATGGCATATAGTGTTTGGGGTCCAGTATCAACCAAGTTTTTACTTTTTTGTTAAAAATTATTAATGAACATAAAATATAAATTGCATAAGTAGGTACAATAGATTCAAATGCATGGAATCAATAGCTGAATTCTTAACAGTATTTGATATTTTTCTCATCAGTGATTGATAATTATTTAAATGGTATGTTATCTTATATATATGTTATGTTTGAATATTCAAAGTGTTTACTTATTATTTATTTTATGTTAATTTTATATTGTTTAGTATAAGTATTATAATACATCTATGTTTGTTTTTAAGTAAACATATTAGTAAGTTATTTCCAAATGGTTTGGTAGTTCTTTGTTTATTTTATAAAAGCTAGAAACATTTAATTTTATAAGAAGGTAACTTAAAATTATCAAATGAATGGTTACATTTTATTGATATAAAAAAAAATGTATTGTTAGTTTAAAGACCCTACATATCCTGTGCGCATGCCTATCCGAATATTTTAATGCAGTATAGTATACCTATTATAATGCAATGTTTAAAGATACTTAAATAATTCACCTTTGAATGTGGCAATTACAGCGTCAGACATGTTCCAATTTTTTAATGTTTTTACTGTCCAGTCATCCATTTTTAAACCAAGTTATAACTAGTAACTTATATGTGTACATAAAATATAAATAACAAATTATTATTGATCATGCATATCAGAATGGCATAGAAGTAATTTAAAATGAATATGTCTTATACTATATAATATAACTTACTTACCTATCTCAGAAACTTTGGCTTAGTAGATTCTAAAACGTGGTAGACACACAGGATACAGCTAGACGGTGGGCAACGGAAAACAAATTTTGTATGATGTGCGGACGACGGACGTGCGGATGGTCACTGTGGGTGGCGGGGAAAACAGTTTATCACGCGTCTTGGGAGAACCGAGAAACACTTATAAATAGAAACGAATAATTATTATTTCAACCCAAATTCGATAGCTGACTTCTCGTCTAACTATTTGATTATAGTTAAATTAATTAAATATTATAGTCTAATTTGGATTTAACTATTCAATGTAGTCGTCATACAAATATTGTTTTGCCTATACTCGTCTAGTACTTACACCTAATTAGAATAGTAATGGTAGCTAATGGACAAGTTGTTTTACCTAAAATATAGCTTATTCAACTAAAAATGAATCAACTATTTACCAACACTAAATTATTTTTTTCCGTGTCGATTATTAATCAAGTAAGTTTGGTAATTGAAATGAAAAAAGTCTGAGTTTTGAAAACTTCAAGAATTTATGTTAAATAAGAAAAATGTAAATCAGTAGTGATGAGTAGGTGGATAATTTAGCTAGCTTTAATATAAAATATTAATGAGAGAGATTTTATATCACACCCAAGCGGTAAAGCCACTTAAAATCACTTAAAAATCGTTGGCGTGGACAGTCCCAAAATTTTTATTTCTCTTCTCCTAAATTATGATAGCTGGAAAGTTGGTTAATAGCTCATTAAAAAAGGATTATCAAGTAGATACTGAATGAAGAATGAACATTTTTTAAAGAAATTTATTTAATAAAATTAAATATCTTCCCAAGACATGAATGAATTAAATCCCCAGTTTTAGGCATAAGTATAAATTATAATAGAATACATAATATACTAAAATAACATTATGATGATAAGAACAATAAAATAAATAGTAACAGGTATTAATATAACATAGTATAGTAGCAAAATCAACTTTCTTAGATCCAAGACTTAAAAAAACTGCATTTGGATTGGCTGATAATGGAGACAATACTCAAACATGGATAATAGAGGAGCTTACTTTGAATATATATATTAATAACGACGATGAAAACATTGGAAACAATATAAGTGAAACAATAGCATCCCCTATCAACAACCCGCGAATCCTCAAATTCTTTATGGGAACATTTCGACAGTAAATTATCTCAAGTCAGAAGTGTTATTAGCCCTGATATTAGTGCAACATTAATGGTTCGTCAATATGTAGAGTTACCTCATATGCAACGTGGAAAAAATTGCTTAGATTTTTGGAAGCAACATAAACATACTTTTCCTGAGTTATACAAACTGCAATTAAAATATTTAGGTATTCCTGCAACTTCAGTTCCAAGCAAGAGAGTATTTTCCAATGCTGGATTGTTAACCAACACGCGAAGAAATAGACTGTCACCAAAAAATTTAGACTTTATAATATTTTTAAATAGTAACTTAAATATGGTGTAATATTTATTTCTTCGAGTATTGGTTAACAATCCAGCTTTGGAAAATGCTCAATCACTTTTAGTTGTTATTTTTATTTTTAAGTTTTGAACAGTAGTTATTTGTTATAAGCCTAACACAATTAAATATGAATCGTCAATTGTTTTATTTTAAAAAGCATTTTGTTCTTATATTATAATTTATAATAATAAATGTAAAGTGTTATTTCAATTCAAAATGTTGATACGAATTTTTATTGATAAGTTGATTTCCTATTAATCGATTATTATTTATTAGTTCATAATAATATATTGATTATTTTAATCGAGTGAATAACTCGATTATGCTGACTTCTCGATTACTAATTACTCGATAACCGTAATCTTTCGATTATTCCCATCACTACTTTAAAGTTTAAATAATACATTATAATATTAATTCACCAAATGTTTGTACTATACTCTGTTCGTCAAGGCGTATTTACGGGGGGGTCCAAGGGGTCCGGACCCCCCCATTGGCTCCATAAATACGTATCTAAAGTCTGATATACATAATATATTTTTATATTTTATGCAAATATCAGTTGTAACTTATAACCACATAAAATGTTATTTTTTTACGTAATCGGGAAAAAAAAATGTTATCATAAATTGTTATGCAAGGTTGACAGGTCTTGTCGTCTTGCCAGTTGGAAATCGACAAGAGTATATTATCTTCGGCTGTTAACAGTTTACCAGGCCACTTGGGGGAACAACTACAGAGTAGTTAAAATTGGCCTCTTCTGTTTTGTAGAAAAACCTTCCACGGATATTGATGGTTGATTTACAGAATATTATAATATTCTGATAATATGAGTCAAAATGATCGAAATTAATGATTACTTTTGTTATTGGTTTTGGTACTGAACAGTGAACGAGTCCTATCCCTACCCAATGCGTTATAATACCAATGTGTAAAAAGCGCCTTTATAGAAAATGTTGGTCATAATGCATTAAATCACATAAGTCTTTATGCACAGTTAGAAAAATATATATAAACAGTTTAAGTAGACTTAAACCTTTTAACACATATTTTAATTTTGACTTAATACTTTTAACCCCTCATTTTAATTTTATAAACGTGTCACCATAATAATTGAAATCAATAAATAATATTATTGTAATCAAGCTAATTGTTATCATTATAGAATATCATAACGTAAAATAATATCAAAAACATTATAAATTGTTACATTATCTAACATAATATTCAGATAATATGGTTGTTTATGGTTATAATGTTTTTATCATAGACATAATATCTATTACATAATATCCAAGACAAAAAAATTACGTCGTCATGATAATATTATTATTTTTGTTGTGCACTGTCGATCATTCTCGTAAGTCGTAATAACTAGTCGTAATAAAAATTCACATATGATGGCCATGTACATGTCTTGTATTAAAAATCACGAAAACATAGAAATCATAGATCATAAATTTTTAGTTGCTGGCCACACTCATTTGGAGTGTGACATAGATCATGCTTTAATAGAAAAAAAAAAATAGTAAAACACCGATTTATCATCCGCATGACTGGCTACAACTTGTAAGACAAACTGGCAAAAAAAATCCATTTCAAGTAATTGAAATGACTATGAATGATTTTTTTAGTTTTTCAGAACTTTTAAAATCTGCATTAAATACAAAAAAGTTCAATGATAATGGAGAGAAGTTTGTGTGGAAAGATATCAAGTGGTTGCGTTTCACAAAAAACATTGGAGTTCTGCTGTATAAAGATACTTTAAATGCTGATGTACCATTTAAAACCATATCACTTCTTAGAAAAGGACATGCCCGAAGTAATCTATTACCTCCATTGACTTATACCAAACCAGTACCAATTGGCAATTTCTGTCAAAAAAAAAAAGATTTGATTGAGTTACTTCCTCTCATACCTACAGTATTTCATCATTTTTATCAAGCAGATAGTCAAACCTACAGATAGTCAAACAAAAGATACATTGCCAGATGATGATGTAGAAGAGAACTCAGAATGAATTATTAATTATGTTCCTAATAATCTAAGTCAGTAAAAACTATTGTGAAATATGACTTAAGTCTTATTATTTTTTTTTTTTTAAGTTAATATATTATTAAACAAGTTAATTTTGTTATTTTTTATGTTTTCTCATATAAGAGTATTTTATACAAGTGGTTATAATTTTTTTGTTTATGTTAAAGTTTATTAAAATAAAAAGTTTTTTCTCAAATTTTATTCAAAATTTTAATTTAATTTTCCTGAAATTATTCATTTTGGACATAAGACCTTTTACCCGAGCACCACAGATATACTGTGGTATATACTGTTACACTTAAGTGTGAGCGTGTATGTTTATATATACTAGAACAATTTCACTTCGTTTTTAAAAATTTTGTAATGCTTAGGAAATAATGTACCACGAATTGTTTTATTTATCAATATAAAATACTATACATAATTATTTCAGTTATTTTACATAATGGAGGCGGGAGTTGTTGTTTTCCCGTAACTGCCGTCTGCTGCGCGCGCAGCTTTGATACACTAATGTATATAACACAGTACATTATATAATATACTCGCGGTGGCGGTGTCGAGAGATCATACTTTTTTCCTCGCTCGCAAATATATATACCACTGTATACATATCTACTCGCGGTGGCGGTGGCGGTGTCGCGAGATCATACTTTTTTCTTCACTTGCAAATATATATATAAAATAAATATAACAATATAAATATAACGCGCGGTTGCTATACGTGACCAAACAAATACATATATATACTCGCCGTTGCGAGGTGGCGGTGGCGGTGTCGCGAGATCATACTTTTTTCCTCACTCGCAAATGCTTTCTTACACGGGGTGCCCAACGTGCCTAAAGAAGTTTTCACTTCAATATCATCTGAGAATAAATTTGGTTGAGTTTTATTTACCACCAGTGGAAAATGATAATGCTTGTGTTGAAATTAAAATATGGAAATTAAAAATAGCAAGTCAAGATGTAAACATCAAAAGTGGGTTTGAAGCACTTTTGAGCTGCCCAAAGAATGACTTTCCAAATATACATTTTTTAATTAAATTGTTTTGCACATTACCGGTGTCAACAGCTACACCTGAAAGATCTTTGTCAACCTTGAAAAGATCCACAATGAGCGAAGTAATCTTTTAATTATTTTGGAAAATATTTAATATCTACTATATAACAATATAACTAATGGAACAATTCTAGTTTAGCTCCCAAGCGATTTTTTGAATTTTTCTTTTTGCATAATGTGTGTTTTAGTATGCTTTTTTTAATGGTACCTTAAAAAAAAAGTCGCTCAAACTTCTAAAGGAAGTTATGTTCAAAAAACTTCAAAATACTCGATTTTTCACAAAAAATTGCGTTTTTGAATTTAAAATACCAAAAAATTGTATTATTGGAATTTTTATTTTTTTTGTATTGTTAGTATTTGTATGCTTAATGTTTTGGTAAAATCCAAATTTGTCTATCGTAGTTACTTTTTATGTTAAACTTAAAAATACCAATACCTAAACATTTTTTTTTTCATTCGGTGTGTAATGACGAAAAAGTTTTTAGTATAACGGGATCTAACTAATAACTAAGCTTTGTGTAATATAAATATAATAATATATTTAAAATTAATTTTTTATTTAAAATAATACAAAATCAAATATTAGTTGAACTCATCTTCCGAATCATCTGAATTTGAACTATCAGAATGTTCAGCAACTACAACTCCCTGCATTTGTCCAGAAGGGTCGTACACTATAAGGGTTAGTTAAAAAAATTCCGTTAAAGGATGCCTGATGCTCGGCATGACTTCAGTAACATATATTTGGCCAGATAGCCTGCATAAAAGTGTTTTTTTTCTGGAATACTGCGTCATTGCCGCTTTTGCATGACGGCATGACGCCACATTCCCTCTACGTTATTTGTGTGTGCGCCAGTTTCAGGATTTTTAAATTGTATGGAGTGATTTACCGTCAAATGTTGATACCCATTATCTTTCAAACAATCGTAGATCTAAATTCAAATTGCATGTTAAAAAACATATTAGATTTTATAATATCGTAAACTTACTTTCCAACAATCACCAATTATTGTAGTTCCTGGTAAAATCCAGTCTTTTATTAACGCCAACAACGTATCTTTGTCCCGGCGTTCAACAGGAACTAAGAAACATCGCCCAGTTTCACGTTCTACGCCACCAAACACCCACTGACCGTCAACACTATGGCCTGACACGGTACGCAGCGGTACCAGTACAAAGTACAGGTTACGCAGCGACCGGTCTGCGCTTTTGACAACCACCACCACGGGCTACGAGCGCGACAACGCCAACTCTCCCACCGCGCCTAAAAGGCACAAGGCGGGACGGAAAGGCAAGTCGCGCAAAACGAGTAGGTACTGGCCGCCGGTGGTGTCTCTCTCGACCGTCAACGTTTCAACGACACACACGTGTCTTTCGTTTTATGTAAAATATCCATACACCGTGTATCCGATATTACCGCGCTTGTTGCTCAAACAGCTAACCACGACTCCGTCGATACCGTTTGTTGTATTACCACGTTTTTCCCGTTAAATAATGGGTGTGAAAAATAAATAAAAGCATATTCATCACCACAGTCGCATTACTTTGTTTTTCTTCATCACTCCTCACCATCTCATTGCGACCGGCTCACCGCGGACACCACTCCACCACCGCCGTAGCCGCGTCAGGCCTCTATGGTATTTCCTTTTACCAAATTTTGATTCATCTATTTCTACGACTTTCCCTTCACCACCTATGTATAATTATAAAAATTGAAACATTTCATGGCAATCCAAAGTTGCAGTGATTACGCGTGTATCGTCACCCGTCACTACGCTCCTCCAATCGAAAATATCCCCTTAATAATATATTGATTAGTTTCAAAAAAATAAAGGTATCCCGTAAATTAGGTAATATATCTATAAATTATATAGTTATAAAAACACATAATACAGGTGCTAGTCACTCGCTCGCTCGAAAAATTAAAATCAAATAAAAAATGTAATACCGATCTTTTCATGTCGAATAATCATTCCGTCGAAAACAATTTCCCGGTAATAAGAGGCCCAATCAACAGACGTCTGTCGAGCTATGTCTGTTTGTTTTCGAATAAATTCAAGTGATTTCCGAATGGATTGTTGATTATCGCACTTCACTTTTTTTTTACTTTCGTCAATCGAGGTTTGTCTGCACCGCCAAACAAAACCATCTATACAGTTGACATTAGGACACAATAATAATAAATGAACCTTATTGCATTTTAATGTACTCACGTTAGCAATAAGTCCCCAAGACTGCAATGTCTCTATGTTTGGCAATACAATGCGCCCAACGGTCTTGCCACTTTTTGAAACACCTTTGAATTTCCTCTATAGGTATAGCCTTTAGCTCTTGTTTCGCGTTATGAATAGTTTCGTTAACGTCTTCAAATCTGTGGCCTTTGAGGGTACTTTTTAGTCTTGGAAACAAAAAAAAATCACAGGGAGCTAAGTCGGGTGAATATGGTGGATGAGGTACCACTGGTATATTTTTAGATGTCAAAAATTCACGTACGGAAAGTGCAGAATGCGCCGGTGCATTGTCGTGGTGCAAAAACCACGACTTTGATTTCCACGCTTCTGGTCTTTTACGGCGTACTTTCTCTCTTAATCTTTCTAATACTTGTTTATAGAACACTTGATTTATTGTCTGACCTGTAGGTGCAAACTCATAATGAACTAAACCAGAAAAATCAAAAAAAACTATGAGCATTGCTTTGATGTTTGACCGGACCTGACGACATTTTTTTGGACGAGGTGAACTTGCGGTCTTCCATTGCGATGATTGGACCTTGGTTTCGGGATCATATCCATACACCCATGTTTCATCGCCCGTAATTATTGATTTGATAAAATTTGGTTCATTAGAAACCCGATTTTTTAAATCCAAACACACTTCAATGCGATGTTCCATTTGCTCCTCGGTTAACAATTTTGGCACTAATTTTGCGGACACTCTTTTCATACCCAATTCATCTGATAAAATCGAATGACAAGTACCAATTGATATGCCAACTTCATTAGCTACTTCTCTGACAGTTAATCTTCGGTCGGATCTAATTTTGTCTCGAACTAGAGTAATGGTATCATTTGTTTTTGATGTTGATGAACGCCCAGGACGATGGTCATCTTCAATGGATATACGACCTTCTTTAAAACGTTTGAACCAGTCAAAAGTCACACAACGGCTTAGTGCAAAATCTCCAAAAGCCAATTTTATCAATTCAAAAGTTTCCGTAGCATTTCTACCAATTTTGAAACAAAATTTAATACACGCGCGTTGCTCTGAAATATTATCCATCGTGAAATCGCGATTTTATACAAAACGATCAACTTCGAACGCGTATTGTCGATGACTGATTTGAGATAATGATTATTATTATGTACTGAAATAATGGTCATTATCTCTAACATTTCTGATAACATTAAATGTTTTTCTACAATAATTTTAGTCTGGGAATTTATTGAACACACCTCGTATATTTCAACAGCTCAGATTTCTTGATCCAAACTTGGCACCATATGGGAATTCTTAAAATAATTTGGACATTGATTTTAAAATATTACCTGATAAACTAAATGATTTAAATCTTATTGAAACTGAGTGGAGATGATTGAAAATTTTAATAAATAATAATGATAAGACAAAATTATCATCATTACCTATTGATGAATTTTGGCATACAATATCTAAACTCAAAGATTATTCTGATACATATATCAATGTAAAATGGCTAGATATTAATAATAACACGCTTGTAGTTTCAGAGGTGAGTTTATGCTTAAAAGCTGCTATTAAAAATGTTTATTTTGCTTAGTATAATTTTTCTTCTGCTTTGAACAATTTATAGGTGTGTCATTCTCAAAGGTTGAATGATACCAAACTAATACCATGG